AGAGAGAGAGAGGGAGGGAGAAAAACAGAGAGAGAGAGAGAGAGAGAGAGAGAGAGAGAGAGAGAAACACTGTGCAAGGGTTAATGGTAGTGCTTCTCCTCAGAACAGTGTCAAGATAGGGCTCTGCAGCCAACAGCATGAGAAGCACAGTGTGGGCAGCAGGGTGCTCTGCTGACCCAGCCAGTCCACAGCAGATAAGGCAGCTGGTACACTGCTGCTGCCATCCAGAAGTGGCAGCAGGGAGAGACCCAGAGCCAGAGCCCTGAAGAGTTTACCATGATTCTCCGGGTTGGTGTGTCAGCACATTTTCAGTCCTGTCCACTGGAGTGACAAGCTGACCTTTGTACCTTTGATGTGTGATCACTTTGTCCTCAGAAACATATATCTTTCTCCACTCTCTGTTCAAATATTAATCTCCAAAAAGGTCAGTGTAATTAAATGAGAGCTATGATATAATTAAATGAGAACTACAAGAAGGGATTGTATTCACATTAATTTCTTCCCGAGCTAGAGGAAACCTATCTTTCTCTGTTGTCTTGGTCTTCACACATTCTAGGCCTCTAGCAAGATTCGTCTAGATAGTGGTACCTCAGTTCATGAACATAATTTGTTCCACGATTTGGAAAAGACGCTCTGAAAGACTAAGCCAAATGCTTCACAGTCATGAGCCCATTGAGTCTCCGTGACAAGCTTATTATGTACCATTTCACTAATGTGCAGAGTCTATGAAATTAGTGCAACTTTAAGAAGACTAAACTTGGGATTTAAATTTGAGTAGTGTATTTCCAGAATCCATCTTTGGGACCAATGCACTATTTATTTATATATGCAAAAAATGTTAGAAGATATGTCTTGTAGTTTGGAGGTTATCTTTCCACTTACGAAGACCCTGATGTTGGCCTCGTACTGCTGTTTCTTCTCATACAAGAGCACAGCTTCTTCTATTTTCCCAGTCCAATCCTGTTAACTCCCATCAGCCCGGGCCCCTGTATTAGTACAACACCACTGGTTTATCTTTGGTATGAGATTCTTGACTAACATTCCAACCCCGTGGTGTGGGGAAGGGAATACTCCCCCATGTTAAAAGATAGTCCCATTGATTGGTTCCCTTGTGCTTTAAGAAATGTGCGGATTAGTGAGGTATTTTGAAGGTATTGAGTATAAAAGAATAAAAATACAAAAAAATTTATATGCCATACCAGTGTGTAGGAGGTATTTTTCATTTTTCTTTTTGATTTTAAAAGATCATTGAGTTGTGAACCTACATTTGACTGAATTTTAAATACTACCTAAGTAACACAGCACTATAGTGGGTCTTTATAATAAGGGCCTCCCCTTTACTTTAGAAGCCATTCTTCATTATTATTTTAGTGGGTGGCATTAAACACACACACCAGTCTATGATGCTGGTTAAGACTTGGTAGACTTCTTAGGCAGATTCTTACAGAGGCTACATAATAAAAACAATCTGAACTGCTATTCGAACCCTAACCTCATGTAGTTTGAAAGACTAGCTGCAAACTCCTTTAAAGTGCTCTCTGTGGCTAGGAAAGGAAACCAGTGGGCACTTGGAAACTTTTCATTTCAAGCATAAGCATCAAATAGGTTGACAACCAGAAAGAACGCTGAACCTCTGTAATAGGCATGGAAATATAAAATAAAACCAAAACCATTTAACCTTCATAAATGACCTCATTACAAATGCCCATCTTTGACTTCAATTTTTTCATTTACGTGTCTTTAATTCAGTGTTTTCTTGTAAATTGTAAATATCCATTTAGTTGTTTTTCATGCTGTCCAGCAGAATCAGATAATCAAATCCACCTCACACAGCTACCACTCATTTATCCCATCCAAAAAAAAAAAAAAAT